TTTCACTATATTTCTATAGATCTTCCGTTTTTAAAAGTTCCTAAGAAGCCGATTATAACACTAAAAGCCAGACGCCTTTCACGGTTTCAAAACACAGCCAAACCCTTTGCCCTTACCGCTTTCCTTTCCCTGTGAACCGACTGACCGCCTATAGTACAGCCGTGTAGCGGGCCGTCCGTTCCTCCTTATCGCCACCCAGGATCTTTCAAGGCCGAAACCCGTGCTCAACCTGTGTCCCCGAATGCAGATGTCGTTTTCGTGCGTGTGTACTATCGTTATCCACCGCCGATTAGACGCTGATCCCGCTCATCGGTCTAGGGTTTATCAGATTTATGGCCGGATGCTGGCGATATATCCGTGTTCGGACCCTTACCTCCCGTATTACGCAATTCTCTATCTTTTATACACTTCAAAGATACGGTCAATTTTTATGGCTATTTTATGCGCTCTGCTTTTTCTTTGATAGTCTTCTGGGGGATGGAAGAGAGCGTTTGGGACTTTTATCGAGGCCATCCTCTTTGACGGCTATTGTTCTGTAGTCCGGGATGATCCAATAGACAGGGGGCGGTGCTCTTTTCCGATGTCATTCACGGCATTATGCAATAGGGACTATGGGAGCAGCTGCCGAATACCTGGATCTAGATGATTCGTTTTTTCTTGAACGGGTTCCAGGCTATTTTAGCTATTTTTGAGGCTTTTGTATCATTTTGATGAATATCGACAATATCACTCTCTCAGTAAATAGAAATTTTTTTTCTTGAGCCCACCAAGGCTTTGTAAATTTCAATGTTGTTGCTCTATTTTTAACCGCACTAGTGCCTTGCGGTTCCCCCATCCACGCCCCATGTTTCCATCTGACAACTATCCACACACCCGGCTTGTGCCACTCGTTTATGATTGAGTATCCCCCACCAATTGCCATCGCTTCTCTCCACCCTCGAAATGTATTCCCCTTCTCATAGATCTCAAGTATCTCGTTGCTCCAAAGCTTCTCCTCGGGTTGACAAGTGTCCACCCGGCTCCGCTCCTTTACCCCGGATGGACACACGTCTTGTTTTGAGGTTTACACCCATTTTTCTTGAGGCCAGCGAGCGGCGGGGCGAAACTGAGAAATGGGCTTTTGGCCCTGGGACAGCGGGTACTCTTTCAGTTATAACCTGGTCAGTGGCCTTTTTCTGTAACGTATGTTTCCGGTCAATTTTATGGAGGGTACGATAGTCCGTTATATCTCGACCGCTCATTAATGCGGAAACAAATACGGTTTCTCTGAACGATTTCCGAGCTTTCTCTCTCTCTATCTTTCTCTATTTTTCGTTCTCTTCCGGTCTCTCTCTCTCCCTCCCTCTCTCTCTCTCTCTCTCTCTAACTCTCTCTCGCTCTCTCTCCTTCCTTTCTCGTTTCTAAACGGGCGATCTTGTCGGGATTTTGTGCGAATTATCTAGGTAAATTCTGTCAAGGCTAGCTAGCAAAACCCTTCTTACACCCTCCCCCCCCCATTAGTCTGTAATTTGTCCTCCTCCTCCTCCTCCTCCCATCCAGGTACACCACCCACCAATTGACACCCTCCAGGGCCTCCCATTGGCCCCAAATCATTCGACCCGTCATTTTTTGGCGCCTCCTAGTGGGGGGCTGGTTGGTTGACCCCTCTTTCTCTCTCTATCTGTCTCTCTACTAGATGTTCTCGTAGTCCCTCCCCTCTCCCTACTATTTCTGTGCCCTCGGGCCGAAGCCAAGAGAGCGAGAGAGTGGCTGACCGGCTGACTGTTTGCGCTAAAGGTTTAGGGCCTGCTGCCCCCCGCGCGGGCTCTACCTTGGCCACAAATACTCTTCGCTGGCTGTCCCTCTTCCTCTTCTTCTCCTTCCCTCCCAGGTTTACCCAATTTTGGGCCGTTATTGATGGCTTTTAGGGCTTGTTTTGGCTGTGTGACCTGAGGTTTGGCTACGATCAAATATCCGGGTTTTCAGTTGGGGTTTGAGGGCAATAATTTCGAATTAAAGAAACGTGCAAGCCAGCCCTAAGGATTAGTAGCAAAACGCGAAAGGTATGGTAATACTAAGTGTGAGTTAACTAGCTTTGAATTTTCCTGACCCTCGTCGCGCTGTAGATTTCTTTTTGAAAACTTCCCACAGTTTCTCGATTACTAGGCTTTTTCATCCGGGGAAATTGCGTCACTACCTACAGTTGATTTCCGGACGAATCGATACGATTTATAGATTCAACGACAAGGAACGTGCTATTTTGAACTAGAACTTTTCCTCGCTCCGGAAACGTCTCAATCAGTTTTAAAAATCCGCGCGGACACTACAGAACATAGCTTATACCTACCGTACCCTTGCCCTTATTTCGTACTCCTAGAAATTGGCGCCAATCACCCCCTGGCATTTACGGCAAACGGTAGCCCCTCCCGGGTTTCGAATGTGCCCTTTTGTGGTCATACCCCTCTACCGTCGCTGGCTGCTTTTTATGCCCGGTCACCCTTGCCCCGGCCGTTTTTCACACGTTCCGTCGATGTCCCTTCTCCGCCCCGGTATGCAGAGTAGGCAGCAGAACAGCCCCAAGCGGACCCTTTTCTCCCGTATTTCTGAGTGATATTCGAACGGGGTAGACCGGGGGTATTGCATTTGGAAGTTGCTCGGCGGGGTTGTGCAGTAGTTTTTGTCGGGAATAAAAGCACGTTAGTTCCAATTTTTTGCGATCTTAAACTCAGGTTTCAGATATCATACCAATTAAAATTTGGATACAAGGGGTATGGCTATCCAAACATAGCTATTTTATTTGAGAAGAGAAGCCGTTCCCAAACTCTACAACAACAGATTATTCATCACTTTCTTCCTTCCCGGCCCCTTTAATCTGACCGCCCCTTCCGAAAGCGTCGTGTTGCTGAATGTTGATGGATCCCACCATTTCGCCCTTCCCTCCCCGATCAGCACCATCCAGACTACTGGGAACGACACGAATACCCGGCTCGACTTTCCAAAGAGCTTCTTTGGCTTCAGTTGATGTCCTACAACGATTTATGTCCGTTTTGAAAGGATTATCATCATTATGCACCTGATTCTGTTTCGTTCATTGCTGTTCCTCTCTATCATCTTGGCCTTGGTGTGTCCGCAAATAGGGAATTAGGGGGTGCTTTGCTCATGTCCGGACGGTGTACATCGTAGCGCAACGGATTATGGAAGCTGAACTGTAGATTGAATAGGAATGGATGCCGAATTTGCCCGGTTTCGATACGGTAGTCGAGATTTTGTCTTCTCTTCGCTTTTTCGTCCAGACTTAAATTTTTTCCAATTCTTAGAGATAGGCAATCAAATTCCGCTTCAATCCGGCAATTCGAAGTTTTGGAATTATTTTTGTTCTTAACCAGATTTCCGTAATTTTCAGGTTTACCTTTTCACCCTAATTACCCAGCTCTATTGGAACAACTTGTCGCCCTCCCCTACGTCCCCATTAGTGACTAGCAGATCGGAACAGCGCGCAGAGTAACCGCTCCGGGCCAAATGCCAATTTTTCATGCATGCCCTCACCACAACACCCCCCCCCCTCGATCCAGCCATCGCAAATTTTCCCTGCCGTTCCCATTTTAGTCAACATTCCATTTACCGTGATTTCCCTCCTGCTCCTCCGATGTCTTCCATTCCCTCCCATTCCTCTTTACACACAGCCGAAGCCCCGCGGAGCCCTTCCCCCTGGGCGGTGAATCACCTGTAGCCACCGCGCCACGGCGGCCAAAACCGCGTCTGCCTCTGATTTGGCGCGTACATTCTTCCACACATTCTGCGGCTCATCGGTATAATGCAATCCAGTTCTTTGGTATTTTTTTAGATGCAGAATAATACAGCGGATTTTTGGACCTAGATCCAACCTAAAAATAGACGAAAAATATTTTAATTTCTAGGGAATCTTTGGCCTGTGGTGGATTTTTGGCCAAATTGACATATTTTACTGGCAATATATTTGCATTTACGGTGAAATCAAGGTGTCAGCATCGACCCCTTCCATCAACTTGATCTCGAGGGCTACGCCACGCGCCAAAAAGCGCTTTGAAAACTTGGACGAGACGAATTTTGACGAAAGCCAAACCTTACTTCTGAGATTTTCGAGACTTCCATATTCCGGTTATTTTAGGCGCAATTTTGGCGCCGATTTTATAGGCTGGTTTTTAGGCTTGTTTCTTGTTATTTTTTGCTTTTAAAACATTAAATTTTTCTAGTTTGCCACCCCAGACAGATTCCATCTGACTTCACACCTCTCTCTAGGTGCCATCCCCCTGGCCACCACCATTTCGCTTTAATGTTTCTATCCAGCGATCTAATCTCCGCCCCCAATCACTTCGCTCCCTCACTTCTGGGGCCCCCGCGGCACCATCCCTCCGGGCATTTTCGACACGTTTTTATGCAATCTCCCCTCGTCCCGCATCTGCTCGGCAAATAGTACAGCTCTATTTGGGAGGGTGGTGGGGAGGAATGAAGAGAGAATAGAGAACAGATTCGGGGAACACAGTCCCTTATCAACCCTCTTCTTCACCCCTTTAGCATTCTAGCGCATACCACTCTATCATCGACCCAAATATCACCACGTAGAGGGCTATTACCGAATTTGGCGTGGGTCCAATTTTGAGCGTAATCTTTATGCCGGAGTACCTATCGTAATTTGCTTAACCTCGTCTAAGTAGGAAATGTCTCTGCCTCTCTCTCCCTCTCTCTCTCTCTCTCTCTCTCTCTCTCTCCCCTCTCCTCTTCTTCTCTCCTCTCTCTCTATCTATCTATCTTTCGCTCTATTTCTGTGCCACCAAATTTAGTTTTCGACTAATTTTCCTTCCGAAATTATGTAGCCTCAAAAAACACGTCCGTCACCCCCAACGGCGTCTGACCCAATTCCCGCCATGCCAGCATTTGTTGTTTTCAGTTTTCCACGATCTGGATCCGGCTGATTCACGTTGTGCCTTCTCAATCTTTCTATTTTCCAGACGCCACATCAGAAAGCGGGTCTTTTTCTCAAGATGATCCTCCGAGCGGCCATTTTTGGGCTGTTGCTTCTCAGTGCGGGGCTGGTGGCCCAGTCGAGTAAGTAATAAAAAAATATTATAGTACTTTTATAACCAAAATCACGTGCAATAAAAGCATTACAACTCGTGATTTTCAGTGGACGAAGAAGAATCGGTGAGCATCGGCAATGGCCAGGGTTTCGGCAGTGGGAACGGCCACTCAGAAGATGATGAAGATTATGTGGGTCTAGTTTCCGCTTTATTCTATCGTGTTAAACCTTTTCTCATCCATAACCACTTTCTTCAAATAATTCATGGGCCAGCGTCTATAAACCCTTATCGTTTTGCCCCATAAAATAAGCCGGATAGGTGTGTGGATCGGCTGGACCACCATAGCGGCTTTAGAAGGGGTGAGACGTGTGAAATTTGCGGTGGAAATTGGGCGTGACGTAGATTTTGGAGGAATTAAGGGGTTTATAGTAAGGTTTTTAGACGTCTGAGTTCTAATACGACGTTGCTAATAAGCTTTATAAGCTCTCTAAGTTGATCCGCTTCAATCCCTGCATCTGCGCCATCATCTCCAAGAAGTCGGTACCCTTTTCTTTTCCATATCTGCCTTATGTTCTCCCCCTTCCGTACAAATACGGCTACCGCTAGGATAGGGGCTCCTCGGCTCGACTCAAGGGCCAACACCCACCCCACCCCGGGGTCAACCATGTTTGGCTTCTGCCCCCTAAAGGAACGGAAAGGACACACCGACCATCCCCCCAAGCCGAGCCACCTGATTACATTCTTACTCACGGTCGAATGGAGATAGAGAATCGACTAGCCGGAAAGGGGGGGCGAAGAGCCGGCCAATTAGTCTAATGAATAGGCTTGCTAGCTAGTGAAGCGGGGCTGAGCCTTAGGTGAGGCCGGGGACGGGAAATTGGGGTGCTGTAACGGTGCCGAGGAGTAGTACGATAATTACGGGGGTTGGAGGTATCCGGTGGGCTACCTTAAAAGGGCAATTGCTAAGGGTTTGTCGTTGTTATATAGCGTCGCGATGCTTAATTTTCCGCGTGTTTTCCTAAAAAAATAGTTTTTGTTCAACATCTGCTGAGCAAAACAAAAAAAACTCTCTTTCCCTGTCTTTCTGTCTATCTCCCTCTCTCTCTCACTCTCTCGCTCTCTCTCTCTCTCTCTTTCTCTCTCTCGCTTTAATTTCATGGACATCTCGAGCTCACGCTCTCTTTCTTTTTCATTAGATCGTTCTCCCGTACTCTATCACACCTCCTAACCTATTAAAAACTCATTATTCTTCACTAGGTCAAACGCCAAAAAACCCTGCTACCAAAAGCTCATTACCCATGCACGCATCCCATTGTGCAATTTGCCTATGGTGCTCCCGGGGTGTGTGCAGGTGGCAGTTATTATTGTGAGAGCACGGGAGACAGGGAGAGTTAGAGATACCGAGAGACTAGGATGACACCTGCCCCTCTTCTCCCAATCTATCGAGTGTTATGACAGCCATATTCCCCTCCGCGCGAATGGCTCGAAATGTGAGAAGGAACAGGGCTGGGGGAGCAACATATTGGCCCTATACTCCCTCTTCTCACTTGGGCCCTCGGGTCTATGCCTTGGGGCCATGTTTGGATAGTGCCCGTCGAGGGGCACACATAAAATGTGCTGATCAGGCGCACCGGGCTGGGAGGGGGGCGGGGTGGAGCATCCGGTTACTCGTTGACCCCATGGGCTATCAGAAGAAGCAGAATAAAAAGGGAAACGAGCTGGGGGAATATTGATCGATTTGATTGGTAGCGAAGTACGAAAAAGCTGTAAAAACTGGCCACAGACGAGTTACGTTCATTTTCTAAATACCATTTTTCCTAAGTCCTATTTTCTTAGAAGCAGATTAGCCTGTCAATTCTATCCAACTCGAAAAACTCGCGGAGCTTTCACGCGGAGAAAAATAGCAAAATGCTTTTAAGAAGAATGAGCTTAGAAGAAATGAGTGCAGGCCGTCAGCCCTATTAACTTGCTGCCACCCATCCGCAGACGCGCATCCCCACTTATCCCGGCTGAAAAACCAGCCAGATGTGGGCCTAACACCCTGAAGGAAAGGCCCATTGTTGCCCACGCCGTGGCCCATGACCCTAATTCCGTTAATTGGGATCGAATGGAAGGGGCCATCCGCTACGCTGAGCATCTACCAACACGATGTGTATTTTTAGGGGTTGGTCGAGTTGGGGCGAATCAGTCGATTATATCGGTCTCTTGGAAAAATCAAGTCGTAACCAGGCACTAATTGTTAGAAAAACGAGTCGACCTAAACCCAGAGATGAACCTGCCTTTTTAGGTCCAAGGCTCCGGTCTACCTCCAGACCGTCCGTACGCCACGCCACCTACCGTATCCAAGACACCATCCACCAAAGCCCCAGTAACGACCACCACCCAACAAGTCAAGAAAAGCCAGTCGACGATTATCACGCAGCGGCCGAGGGTAAGTTAATCCTCCTCAAAACTGTTCTATTCTATACCTCAATTACCAACTATGACCAACTTTCAGATTGATCCGGTTACTGAAGCCACAACCACCACGACGAGAAGGCCTATTGGCAAAACAACTGAAAGTAATGTGCAGGTATACCTTAAAGCCTCGTTTCAAACTTACGAAATTTAGGCAAACGCTGCCTGGACAAATCATTTGATCATCATCATGCTGATCGCGTTGATCTTGACGCTGGTCATCCTCATTGGGGCTGTGCTGATCTGCAGAGGTTGTAGCAGTGAGTTAACTTTCACTAAACTACATATCTAAAAGGTAACAAAATCGTACGCAGCCTTCCGCGCTCCTTAAAATCAGCTTTCGCATCCAGAAAAGAACCGACAATGGGTTTATTCAGTCCAGAAATTCCTAATAACGAACTAGCAAGTATATAAAAACTTTCAATGAATTTTTCAGATAAGAAACGAAAGTACCGTACCGAGAATCAGGCGGCCAGCGCGAACGGCTTGCTGTCAAAAACGGACTACTAAAGAGACAACAACACGACGATACTATGTCTCCTCCTTTCCTCTTCACTTCATTTGCATAGAGCTAGTCTTTTCCGGCTTCTCCGACCTAACCGAATACGGGATCCTGTGTGCTGTGTGTGTGTCTGGGCTGTTGCGCAGTTTTTAGCTTTTCGCTGTTGCCAATGTTTATTTTAATTTTCCACCTTTTAGGCGCCTCAAACTGTTCTATTTGTGTGTTTTTTTGCGATTTCCTGTGATTTGCATTGTTCTAAAAATTCCCTTCAATTTCTCAGCTTTTGCATAAGCCATCCGCAATTGGCCTTAACAAAACCCATACCTAAAAAATGTTGTACAAGCGCTTTTTGTTGCTCAAAAATAAATTGAATTTAGAATTTGCTAAAACTAGCGGGATTTTTATGATTTTTGGCGAATTAAGGCCGCAAGAATCAAAAATGAAAGTAGTTTCAGAAAATTTCACTAAAAACAAACTCTTCAAAAAAAATTCAATCCCGAATCTACGCCGCGATTCATTACGACACTCTCAGAGACGTGTATATTTACTTAACAAATATTTTATGCTATTTTCTCCGAATTTTTCGATACGACCGATTCATGGTAGTGATTCTCCCTCCCCCTATTGCTCGGTAGATTTCCTTTGCTTTCCGGCCCTTGATTGTCTACTTTCCTATTTTCTTTCTACCCCCCCCCGATACCTCCATGCTATGGATAAATTTTTGATGTAAAAACCTGGGGAGAGAGAGACGGAAAACGTACATTGAGAAATCAATCCGAGGGACGGGATTGGATGAATTATTGACAAGGGAGCTCCTTTTCCATAGCCGGAATGTCCAACATCTGCAACAGTGAATAATGGGCACCGGAAATCGGAGACGTCTGATGGAAAACCTGTAGATTACTTGAGGGTGGAAGGGAGCTATGTTTCATGCTCTACTGGGTCAGCTTTTTGGGATGTCCCAAAACTTATAAGCTTAATTTTGGGCTAATATCGTCAAAGCCCAGAACATGCGCTAGGGAAAGTCCTTTTTAGCACACTAATGAAAATTGCGCTAGAAGAGCACGGCTTCACGTGGCATCCGCAAATATCCGCAAAAGGGCAGTTTTTGGAGCCTTCAGGGCTGTTTGCCAAGGCTTCTGGAGGCGTTCGGTGGGATTTTACGGAATCCTCGTATGCGGCGTATTTGGAGCTTTGCCGTTGCGTTTTCATAGAAAATTTAATCTTTATTTTGCTTTGAAAGACTAGAATTGTTAGACTAGTAGTGCATTAGTCCATCAAATACATGCCAAAAAGTTACTTAAAACTAGTGTATACAGCTTACCCTTATGATGGAAATTTTCCAACCCGTGAGCAGCTTTCACCATTAAGTCCAAATTCCAGCAAACACCAATCTCCAGGATCTACCGCCGATTTTCCGCTCATTAGCTGCCCTCTCACCCACCTCGAGCTAAATGAATCTATGAGATAAATCGGATAAGTTGAAGAAGACCCCAATGGGCGAGAGGACCTGCAATTGGGTTGGGCTAATCCGTTTCCCCTCTAGATATCCCCCCTTCTTCCACGTCTTCTTTCCGCGACTGCCCGAATTTTTTTGGTGTATTCCGAGGGGTTTCTTCTGTGGGGAGGCCGTATGGATAGATAGAAAGATAGAAGAGAAGAAGATGTCCGTCCGGCTATTCTTCCGCCACACACACGACGGATTATCTGCCCATCCATTGCCTCAGGACATCCCCCGTCTCTCTTTCTTTTATTTTCTTTTCATCGCGCATCACGGTGTGTATCTATAGTGAATTGCCGCACGGGCCGTCGGTAGGAAACCCTCAGAATCTTGATTATATTGATTGGAATTGTGAAATATCGCAATTAGCGACTGACTATCTCTCTCGCTTTCTCTCTCTCCCTCGCTCTCCACCTCCCTCTTTTTCTCCAGCGAAACAATTTTCAAATGGGGCGTGACACAGTGGGCTCGATTTTTGCCATTTCCTGACAACAACAAAATACAGACATACGACATTACCTCAGATGCCAGCACCGTTTTTTATTTTCATCATTCCACAATTTTTCATCATTTTCATAGACCGCCGACTACACCCTTGAACGGCCATCGTCCAAAACACCCCGACCAACTCCCAGAAATTGAAATAACAATTCGACTCTCTGTCCTGCCCCCCGGATTTGAGCTTTTTGCCTAAAAGGTTGGCTCCTCCGGATCATCCGCAAGACGTTCTAGGGTATGAAAAACCCTGTTCTCCCCCAGATCCTCTAGCTTTTCAGGGATGGGGTTATTTCCAAGGACCAGCACCACCCATTTTGGCGGTTATTTTAAAGCTAGGCTTAAAAAATGGGCAAAATCCGTACCGTTTTTGGTTAAGCAGCTCAATCTCGCAAGCTGGCCGAACAACGAGAAATTGGTGACGACGGGAAATTTCCGGTGAGCCGGAATCTGATTCCGGTGCCCGACACCTACCAACCGGGGGGGCTGCCGCTAAATTGGCTCGATGTGCCGACAAATATAGTGCATTTGGAAGGAGCTGAATGAAGATGAACGGGATCTAAAATTTTTCTGCTTTAATTTTCTGTATTTTTTTTGGTTGATAGTGTTACATTTCTTTTCTAGTTATCTTATATCTGCTTATATGGCTATTATATATAATATATGGATTGATTGATTCTAAAATTTTCTCTATTCTTTAACGCTTGGTACTATCGTTTTCTTGCTTTTTAATCACATTAAGAAGCTGGCCTCCTTTCGCGCCAACTCGGCGGCCGCCGTCCTGGCCGCCAAAAAGTCGGCGGCCAGCCAGAGTCGGGAATCCAGCGTCGACAATGAAAGGTTCGAAAATTTTTCATTTTAACCTTCCTTAGGGCAAGTCTACGCTACACCTTCGGCTACTCCTCCGAGTTATCCCATCATGAAACAGCCGTTTCGACGGCAAAACGCCTTCGACAGCGTCTGCAACGTCAGCAGAGCGGCCAGTCGGGTTTGTTGTTTGTAATTTAAGGCTAAAGGCACTATTTCATAGAATGCTTGTAATGAATCAAGGTTTTTTACGCATGCCCGGCTCAATAAGAGTTTTTTGTTTGGTCCCATCCCAACCACCAATTTTCTGCCACCTCCTCTAACTTAGCCTAAAATTAAGTCTAAAAATGTGGGCAAACAGGATGCAATTTTTAAAATTCGGGCCTCTACTCGCACAAGATTTGTCGCGACAAACCCGGTAATCCTTAATTCGAATCGGCTTTGTGGATTCTCACCTTGGCAAGGGGCAAGGGAAGACTTGCTAGAATCTATCCCCCCACATCCAGCACGTCCCGGATTTATTGATTTTTGCAAATTTCCAAGGTTTCCAATGAGAATTTGGGCCTTTATTCTATGTCTATGTCTTTCAAAACATCCTGAATTTTAGTGTTTTGGCTCGAAAATGTTAATTTTTTGAAATTCTAGAGATTTCGGGCCGGTTTCTAGGCTAGAATTAACGTTGGCATTTTAACGAGCCTATAATCAAGCAATACGAATGTCGACCAAAGCTAAAAGCGGCTATAAAGGATGTAAAAGTTCTAAATTATGCTATTTTGTTCCTCTGCCACTGTTCATATCATAAAATTACGCCGGGACATTCTCGTTAAATTTTGCCAAAATCTACGATTAGCTTTTTTTCTTGGAATATCTCCAATTTTTTCCTGGTGTTATGCGAATTTCAAGACTATTTATAAAAAATTCTTCCATTCTTCTGAATTCCTCAGTTTTCAAAGTATATTATTTTGTCCTCTCCCCCCATTTCCTGATGGCGCGCCCTAAAAAAATACGGGCCTTGCGTGAAAATCTGAAATGCATGGCCTAGGACCCGGTGCAAGCAACGGATTGCCGCGTGTGTGGCGCCATTTTTCTGGAACTCATGTTCCGGCAGCGATCCCGGCAGAAATCTCTAAATATTTGAAACACATACGCCCAAACTTGGCTGCACAGATATGGATGCTGCAAAATGTCGGAATACGAGCCGTGGGTCCGCATCGGATCTGCTGTTTGTGAATTGTAAGTGAAAGTCGCAAAGTTTTAACTGCTGGAAATTGTTAGAAATTAAATTAGAAGTTTTGAGAATTTATAGGTTGGTCTTAGGTTGCTTCATAACGGCAATTTCTAAGCATAAGTACGGACGGTTTTCAAAAATTGAAATGAATAAATAACCATTGCTTTGAATAATATTCACCATTTTCGTTCAGGATTTTAACTAAATCTAACTAACAAATTTAGTCGCAATTTGGCAAATTACAATTTGATGGTAAAGTATTATATAAATCCACACGGACAAAAGTCGGTTTTCCTTCAAAATCTAGTTTCCATTCATTTTTTTTCCAAAGAACAGGCTTGTTTCGCTCTGAAAAGCTGGTTATTCCCTCCCGTCTCGAAATTCCGCCTTTCCACCAGGCATCTATTAGCATTACAATCGGCCGGGAACCACCCAATACGCAAAAATTCGCATCGAAATTTGTTCCTTCACCACTCCCAGAAAATTTCGACTAACCGAGACAGCTGAATTTAATTTCATCATTCAAGACCGAGTCTGGTATGATGCGGGGTTGGATTTGGGCTATTTTGGGAGTTTTTTGCTGGGCCGGTAATGGCTGGCTGGCTTCCGGATTGTCTTTATTGGAGCTTTCTCGTACACCCCGAATTAGCCAAAGCCGGTCAAAAAAAAAATTCAAAAATACGCCCGGAAATCCGTACAATACAGTGTATCCGGATTTTACCGGGGTTCCGCGGCACAACGTTGGGCTTGACGCTAAAACACACCCTTTTTGGCTACCAAATCGTGATGCAACCCATTATTCTTTGCCCTATGATGTTGTTGCGACATCTAAAGGCTTCTCCTTGTTCTTCCTCCAAGCTCCTTCTCCCCTCCCTCCATCAGAAGAGGCGACGTCCAAATAGGATTAGTATGCGCCTGCTTAATTTTTTATGTGCCCTGAGGGCATAGGCTGGAGAAGGGGAGAGACAGGTAGAGAGAGAGAGAGAGAGAGAGAGAGAGAGAGAGAGAGAGAGGAGAGAGGGAGAGAGATAGACGACGTCGCCTTGACATCTGAAGGAGCATAGATAGATAGATGGGTGAGACGGCGCCGAATTAGAGACTCTGCTCTACCCCATCCATTTCGAGTTATCCCTCCTCAGCCTTCTTGCACATCCACCACCGCCACTTTTCCGCTTCTACTCGTTGCCCTGCCAATTTGGGAACTCACGAATCTCCTGGAAATTCGCAATTCGGCCGCGGCTAACGGCGCTATATTCTGAATCGATGGCCAGATAGCAGGGCTTCAGTTATTTTTGGCGTGGCTACGATGGATTGGTCCCGAAAATCGAGCACCAGGAATTCAAATAGATACAGTATCAAGGCAAAGAGTAAGGGATTGTAGAAGGCGATATATTTAAATTCATTTATGCTAATTTTAATAAGCGGGTGGCTGTTTTTAGGCGTTTCCACAGACCAAAAATTCTGAATTTTCAGTGAGAATGCGATATCCTGGCGTAAGAGGCATCTAAAAATAGTAATCCCTTGGTAATCCAACTTGGAGACGAGCCTTGCCTCTATTTTATTGGAATCATTCAAAAATTATTAAAGAATCAAGCCATTTTTTCGCGTTAGGTTAGGTCAGCCTGAAGAAGAAAAACGGCATTTCCCAAAAAATGCAATTTTTGATGATGATCCAGCTGTTCTTTGCCAATCCCGAGCTATAAGATTCCCCCAAAAGCCCTCCCGTACTTTTTCCCCAAAAAGGACGTTCCCGGCTTTGGAACCTCGTTGAGCCCCCGCGATTCCCACCGCCCTGAGCCCCCAAAGCTTTTCCTACGGCCGGAGCCCCCAGACGCAACTTTCTTACCAATTCCGCAACCAAAACACGAAGTGGGTTGTATTTTTAAACTTTAGGCCCAAGAGAATGGGTAGCATCCGGTTATATTGCCCGGTGCTCCCTGATAACCGACGTGTCGGCGGGTGGGAGACATAAAATTTCACGCCTCACCGCGGCAGCCAGACAGCAACAAACCATGCTAAAATTTATCAACCTAACCAGGCTCCTGCCGATGGAATTCATTGGCAATCGATACCTTTGACTCCAGTTTACCCCGTTGAACTAGCTTTGAATTTTGGTTACTTTTCAGGGGTTTTAAGGTAGCTTAGTGAATTTTGACGTAGATCCTCGATTTTCTTGGTTTGGTTTCGGTGGCCTTACCATCAACCCCGGTTTCTGGCAGCTTCTGACAGCGCTGCACCTCTTAATCCTGTTTACAGTGACCCGCTTTTGGGGCTCATCATCGGAATATCAGTTGGCCGGAGCGGCAAGCTTCCGGAGTTTTTTTTGCCGGGTTTTAATAGAGGGCTTTCTTAAGTCGACGCCAAGGCCTAAGTCTAAGCCAAATTAACATAGAGCCGGCGCCTGGACACGCTCTCCTTTCGTTTTTCATAGCGTAATCGGTTAGCGTTTTGGCCAATTGAAGGTACGCTCGGTTCGACACAGCTTCCTTCAATATAACTTAAAGAAGTTCATCAATAAATGAAACAAAACGGGTAAATTTTTATATTTGCGTTATTTAAAATTTATTAACAGCTGGTAGGCATGATTCACAGCCTGGAAAGTTTTTAAATCCTGGTAACTATGGTAGAAAAAATAAGCCAATGCACTTTTTGGTCAATAAGCCCCAAATTTACCCTCGTACACCACTTGCGGTGAACGGCTCGAAAAGCGCTCTGCTACCGGAATGAAAACACAGGTTTTGTGGCTGTTGTGGGTGTGGTGGGCCCTCTCTGCCGGGCCATAAAACGATCAGCTGCTTACTCGCCTCATTGGCCCTCTTCTCAGCCTCTAAAGATTGGGTGGATTGAGTGATCGAGCCCGGGAGGACCCACCCGGTCAGACACAATACAACCACCCACATCCCCACGTAGCACAACCCCGCCTATTTCCTCATTTTGCCCCCGGAGATACGCTAACCGCTCAAAGACCAGTCAATCAAGCCGATCTTATGGATTTATTGCTGACTTGCTGGTTTCTTTAATTTCGGGAAAGCTATGATAGCTGTTAAAGAGAATGGTAGGTATATCAGTATTTTTTTACTTCTGTTTGCTTCTTGGACAACTTGATGCTCTGGATAAGTCCCCTAAGCATACCCTAAGCCTCGGAAACTACTTGTGAATCTATTTATATCCATATATTTATAGTTAGTACGCATTAATAGTATCACTGATGATTGAAACAAATTCCCAAAGGATTTCTTAAAAATTAAATGGCATTAATGATTTTTTGATTATGATTAAATGGCATTGATGAATAATTAAATGGATTTCTTAAATTTTATACAGGCCTGAAAATCTTACCAGAATAACTATATACTAAAAATCAACCCGGTAAAGTTTTCGTAGATACCTTTCCAGAGTCCGGTTTCCAATGGCGGGGGGCAATTTGTGGAACCTAATAACTCGACCCGAACCTGGAAACGAGCTGCAATAAAATGGCTCATTTGACTTTTCGTAGGCCCTCGTAACGACTACCTAATTTCCAACGTACCAAAGACCCTCGCGCTAGTTCGGGCTAACAGAAAACTCAGCGGAAATCCGCGGTACCGCCCGCAGGCTGCTCTCCCCTAATCCATGATCCCGTATTTTCGCGCCCCAACCCTTGGATTGCCGCTTTGTGAGTCAAAAAAAAGTGACTGCGTTAGTGTACCATGACAAAACCATAAAAGCCGGGGAATCGATTGTAAAAACTGGTGCTTCTTCAAATTTCTATTATTTCCAGGGCTGTCGGGCCGGAGGTATACCGGCGAAAGCAGCGAATGCTCTTCGTTGGTCGGGACGCCGACTGATACCGGCAGGTTGGATACAGATGCATATTGTTGAAAACTTTTTTCGTATCGTATTGTACTTTTTATGATTTTAATTATTGCCACTTCAGAAGCTTCACCTTCACTGCAGCTCAAAGAAATCTGATTCGAGAAGAGCGGAAGCCGAGTGTTACCCAAAATATGTCGGAAATGTTGTTGGAGGTAGGCCAAGATTAATGGAATAAAAAGGGCACTGAATCGTTCTTTAAGCGCTATTAACCACAGGTTTTTGTAATACTTGATAGCGACAGTTACGCGCATGTTCGTA